ATATGTGAAATGTCGTCAATCTCAAACAATACACAAGTTATAGGTTTTTAAAAAGTAGAATAAGTTCCACCGCAGGTTACCGGAAATTGCTGAAAAGTTGATACAGAACTACAAGTACGTGTACTTAGATATGAAATTTCATCAACCTAGCTGTAACAGTATTCAAGTTATCGTGTTCACAGACACACATCCACACACACACACACACACACACACACACACACACACACACACACACACACACACACACACACACACAACACGCACACAAAACATAAGAACAAAAATGCAAAACTATGTTTTTCCGACTCATGGTGGTGCAAAACGTCGAGATTTGCAACAATCTCAATTTCGATTTTTTGCACATTATACTGTGGTGTGATTGTAGCAACACATAATACTGTGTGGATGTAGCACTGCATTATACTGTATGGTATAGCACCACATTATACTGTGTGATTGTAGCACCACATTATACTGTGGTGTGATTGTAGCAGCACATAACACTGTGTAAATGTAGCACAAAATCATACTGTGGTGTGGATGTAGCACCAAATTATACTGTGTAAATGTAGCACAAAATCATACTGTGGTGTGGATGTAGCACCAAATTATACTGTGTAAATGTAGCACCACATTCTACTTTGTGGTTATGGCACCACATTATACTGTGTGAAATAAGCACCACACCATACTGTGTGGATATAGCACCATATCACACTCCCTGAATCTGAAACCACATCACAGCTTAGATAAAGAACGTCACTATATTTTATTCCTTTAGAAAAAGCAGCTTCTAATTGATATTTAGCCGCCTATATTATTCTTTGAATATTTTACTTTACCTTTTTGAGTGGCGACTCCTTTTTACCAAATACAATTGTTTTAATATCCTAGAGTGCAGGAGCAGGTGGGTAAAATTCTGATAGATCCTCTATTTAAAAATTGTTCAGTCTGCTGGGGTGGCCGCAACTAGATCAAATGGCATGAGATTTGCAGGTCTATTGTGTGTCACCTGCCAATTGACTGACGTAAATTAAATTCACGACGTGATTTAGGCGTGGGCTGTACCTGTCGCAATTTTGTTAGGCTTATAGTAATATCTTACTTAACTCCCCCCTCTCTCTCTCTCTGTATCTCTTCCTCTCTATACTTACATACGTATATATATATATATATATATATATATATATATATATATATATATATATATATATATATATATATATATATATATATATATATATATATATATATATATATATATATATATATAATATGCAATGTACATGTCCATGTATATGTTCACGCATACACATAGACATACTCATACACAAACATATATATATATATATATATATATATATATATATATATATATATATATATATATATATATATATATATATATATATACATACAAACACACTTAAATACACATACACCAATGCAGCTATACACATATGCACACATACACTTATATATACTAAGGCACTTGAGCTTAAGCAATCACTCATCCTTACCCTTACATTTACACCCTATAGTTTAATGATATAGACGATTTTCAATTGAGATATCAGTTAGTATAATTGAATATATATATATATATATATATATATATATATATATATATATATATATATATATATATATATATATATATATATATATATATATATATATATGTACATACACACATACATATACGTTGTTCCCACACCCCTCCGTGTCGTGCCTCTGCATACTCTTTTTCACCCTTTTCCATCGCTATAGCCCTCTCTCTCCACCCCCGCACCCCCACCCCCCCACCCCCCACCCCCACCGCACATTCCCACCACCCCAATGTTTACAGTGTGAACATGTCCTTGCCGGCTTAAAACAGTTTCCTTTTTAAAAAAAAAGTTACACGATTAACACACCTCACGCTAAGGAAAAACAAAATTGGCCAATCAATAAATTTAACTGATCATTAACTTTAACAACGCATTTTTGTTTTTTTTATGCGTTTTTCCCCTCTCTGTAGCTATAATCAACTATACATGTGCTTTTTCTATCTATCTATAGCTTTCTTTGAATAGACATGTGCTGTATCTATATTTTGCTTTATATGACTCGCCATGTGATGTATCTATCAATAGCTTTATTTGACTGGCCATGTGCTTTATCTATAGCTTTATTTGGATACAGAAGTGTAGTATCTAAAATTTCACCTCACTCGGACAATGGTCAGTCAGTTCAATTAACAATCCATGATTTACGTAGACAAACACACAAACATTAAAGTAAGCAAAATAAAAGCCTTTAATTTAATTAATTTTGATAAAGCCAATTTATCTAATTCGCACCTCTCAACCACACGGACAACCTCAACCACACGGACCATCTCAACCACACGGACCATCTCAACCACAACACAAAACCAACCCTTTCAACCACATGGACCATCTCAACCACAACACCACATCAACCACACGGACCATCCCAACCACACAGACCATCTCAACCACACGTACCATCTAAACCAGAATACCACACCAACCACACGGACCATCTCAACCACACATACCATCTAAACCAGAATACCACACCAACCACACGGACCATCCCAACCACAATACCACATCAACCACACGGACCATCTCAACCACACGGACTATCTCAACCACACGGACCATCCCAACCACAACACCACATCAACCACACGGACCATCCCAACCACAATACCACATCAACCACACGGACCATCTCAACCACAACACCACATCAACCACACGGACCATCTCAACCACAACACCACATCAACCACACCAACCATCTCAACCACAACACCACATCAACCACACCAACCATCTCAACCACAACACCACACCAACCACACCGACCATCTCAACCACACGGACCATCTCAACCACAACACCACATCAACCACACCGACCAACCACACGGACCATCTCAACCACACGGACCATCTCAACCACACCGACCATCTCAACCACACGGACCATCTCAACCACAACACCACATCAACCACACGGACCATCTCAACCACAACACCACATCAACCACACGGACCATCTCAACCACACGGACCATCCCAACCACACCGACCATCTCAACCACACCAACCATCTCAACCACACCGACCTTCTCAACCACAACACCACATCAACCACACCGACCATCTCAACCACACGGACCATCTCAACCACAACACCACATCAACCACACGGACCATCTCAACCACACGGACCATCTCAACCACAACACCACATCAACCACACGGACCACATCAACCACACGGACCATCTCAACCACAACACCACACCAACCATCTCAACCACAATATCACAGCAACCACATGGACCATCTTAACCACACAACTAACATATCAAGCACAAACAAGTTGACTTAACATTTTCCCGCTTTGAATCTATCCTAAGATCACTCCTTACTTTTTAAATAAATCTTTGCCTTGATACTCTCCCTTTTATCGTCTGAAGCATTCAATAAATTTCCCTCTAATAAAACTGTAGGCTGAGATAGAATATTATATTGTCAATGTGAATGGCAGACAATGAGTATTATTTACTAGCACCTTTTCTGTACACTCCTTTGATATCAAGGGGATGCACTAAATAAACGGAAAATAAATAGCAGGTAATATTGGTTGTTTCCGGCTAACAATTTTACAATGTATTTTTATTTCTGTGAATTGTTCACAAATGTACTAATACATATTTTATTTTTATTTTCTGTTTTATTTTCTGTTTTTTTTTAATTATAATATTTCCTTTTTATTTTTTTTTTATTTTTTTATTTTTTTTTTTTTGTGTGCTATACAGTTTTTTAAAGAAATCCAGTCGTGCATTTTTTTAGATTTCTTTACACTTTTTTTGAGCGATTTCCGTTAATCGGAAGTTGGTACTTACTACTTACTCTACTTACGTTTTCTTAAAAGTTGACAATTTGAGCACTATTTCAGTTAGGTAAACAAAATTACATAACCTGATATAAGATCTTATACTTTGTTAACTTCTAATTGTTGACTGACCTCCGATATCCAGAAAAGTTTCTTTACTCAATTTCAGATTTATAAAATACCGATAATTTCAGTACCGTTTCAGTAGATAAGATGTATATATCAGTAGAAGATCATACACGCTGGTTTCTGTCAACTTTTGAGTCTTCTTCTTCTTCTTCGTTCTTAATTATTAGTTTTGGAAAGGATCCTTTCCAACACAATTAAGTATACGTGTCAACTGGTTATGCGCCATTGAGGCCATTGACTCCGATTTCAGACTGATTTTTTCTTGATTTGCTTCGATAGCTTTTGTCCAACAAAGAACAAACTACAAGGGAGCAGTTGTTTGGTTTTGGAGTTGTCTCCCCTAGAACTTTTAAAGTGATTTCTAGTAGTCGGAAGTGTTATTTTATTCTACTCTCCCATGTGAACCCTAGAACTTGAGCACGGTTTTAGGTCAACATAACTCCTGCGGACCTTTTGTGAGCAAAGTGATGCAATCACACCCCACTATCTTATACTTATCAGGCCATTCCTCAAAGCTGGGTTCACATGCCTCTGCATCAACGAACTGATCTTTTCCAAGAGTGTTTTAGCCTACCCACCCTCCTCGTCCCTTGTGGATTTCCGGTAACCGGAAGCGGTATTTTACTCTATTTCCGATTTTCAAAAAATCTTCAGAATTAGAAGTTTTTATATTTAAAAATCAGCATATTTCATTAACTTTTTGCCTCCATGTGTTTTATCGACAAAAAAAAAACATTTTTGTCACATACTTACCATTTCTGTAAGATGATATAACTGGAAGTGTCTTCCCAACATTTTCTACCATAGAACAATGTACCAAAAAGTATAGGGAAGAGCACTCCAGCTTTATTTATTTTTCTTGAACATTTCCCTCCCCTTATGTTTACTTTGTTAAATAATTGTGAGACAACAACATGAAATAAAAACTACGGTGTTTGGAGATAACAAATATTTATTGATCTCCCCGTGTACAGATGACGCCTAGGATTCCAAAATAAGTCCTGGGAGTATCACATCGGCACACACGGCCATTCATCGTCACATTCACACCGACTGAAATAATACGACCTCCCGGCAGTCGGCAGTTTGGACCTACATATCAAAAGATCATGGGAAAAAATTTAGTTTGGGGTCGTCCATAAATAACGTCACACTCGTGGGGGGGGGGGGGGGACGGGGTCCGTAATTTTGAGACGGTGTGTGATGAGGGGAGGGGGGGATCAGGTGGTGTGACGTCACACTTTTACGTTATGAAAAAGCAATGTTAGAAGACGAGTTTCAGCCGTTATTTCGCGTTTTAGAAAACGGTTTTAATAAATTGTAATAGGAATTGATCAAAATTACTCTATGTTGACAGAGTTCTGACAATATTTTGGAAAAATATCGATGTTTTAAGAAATATTCAACAGCAATTTTGAGTAGGGTTGTAGGTTAAGTTGAGACGTCATTTTAGGAGGGGGGGGGGGGGGCTCTGGCATTTAGTGACATGTGACGTAGTGGAGGGGGGGAGGTAAAAATCGTCCAAAAAAACGTGATGTCATTTATGGATGACCCCTTTCCAATAGTAAAAGTGACTTAAAGAATTAAACGCACTATGAGAATAGAGACGGAGTAGAATGAAACTCTTTTAGGTGGAAGGCATATAGTCGGAGGGGGGGTGGGGCGGAGGACACTGTTACAAGTATATATTTTCTATATAAATTCCATTTTGTTCGGAGGGGGGGGGGAGTGCTCCCCCCCCCCCCCCCCCACTTCCCCCCTCCCTTCCCTGAAGAGATGCCTGGAAGAAACACTGTGACTTTTTCCAGCTAAATCCTGTCAAGCTGTCTTGACTTTCCCAAGCTGAATCAGGTACAGTACATCTGTCATTACTTCCCCTAGCTATGTACTATTCAGCTGTCTATATTTTTTATGTCTATTCTTAGCAAATATCGATGCAATGTAAATCCTTATACAGTTGATCAATCCAAACGATAGATATTAGGTAGTAGAAGGGTGGAACAAAATCACTGACCACTTGGGCATGACGGGCAACAATCCCCAGCCTTGAAAACACTGTCGTGACACTGGGGTGTGGCACACAGTACGCTGAAGCAGTTCACCCCCCACGGGGAACACCAGCAATCGTTGCAGTCGCCGTCATCGAAAGACTCCCCCTCCTGGTGACAGATCAACATAGCAGTGTGAATTAGCGCTAGCCCTCTGCGCATGTGCAATCAGCCTGAGAATCTCCGGTTTAAATATACTGCTGGAGTTGTAGAACCTGTTCAATTTATCTTTTACACACTTCAAAGTAAAACAAAGGGGACGTTTAAAAAAATGACGTCACACTCGTGGCGGGGAGGGGGGGGGGGGTCCGTAATTTTGTGACGGTGTGTGTTGAGGCGAGGGGGGGGGGGGTGGGGTTCAGATGGTGCGACGTCACACTTTTGCATTATAAAAAGCCATGTTAGAAAACTAATTTTAGACTTTATTTCGGGTTTTAGAAAGCTGTTTTAATAAATTTGCAATTTATGGATATTCTGTATAGACAGAGTTCAGACAAGATATTGGAAATATATCGATGGTTTAAGAAAAATTCAACTGCAATTTTGAGGGGGGGGGGGTTGTAGGCTGAGGTGTGACGTCATTTTAGGGGTGGAAGGTCTGGCTTTTTGTGACGATGCGTGACGGAGGGGAGGGGGAGGTAAAAATCGTAAAAAAAAGCGTGACGTCATTTATGGATGACCCCAAATATAAAAAACCTTTATAATGACAAGCCTTTAAATGCACTGAAAATATGAAAAAAAAAAAAACTTGCTCTTTTTAGTAAAAGTTTTGGTCGCGCATGAGATCTTTTACATATTTTAGCGACCAAAGCTTTTATTAAAAAGATCAAATTGGTAACTACTGTCTTGTTATTGAAATTGGTTGAAATAAAAGCAATAACAATACCTGCAGGATAAATAAATCTCATATGAAAAATAAAAAATTCAAGTAAAAATGTTTTTAGATTTAAAACATCATTTAAAAAATCAAAATTTGAAAACAAATTGCACTATAAAGTAAAAAAAAATTTTAGTTTGGCGTAACACTAAAAATAAATGCTTGAGCGCTCCATGATTTAAATTGAACACAGGGCTTATATTATAGAACAACTGCCAATGAACTCCCTATGAGAGTGAATATATTTTCTGGGGAAAATGTCCATTCCCCTCGTAAAAGGAATATTGTTAAGAAAATATCTTTCTAATGAAATGTTTGTCTTAGAACACATAAGTCTGCCCAGTAGCGTAGCGAAGGGGGGCGGGGGGGGGGGACATATGTCCCCGGGCGCCGATCTTAGGGGGGGCGCCAAATTGAAAGTTTGAGGGGGGGTGCAAATGAAAAGTTCGAGGGGGGGGGGTGCAAATCGAAAGTTTGAGGGGGGGTGCAAATGAAAAGTTCGAGGGGGGGGGGTGCAAATCGAAAATTTGCTCCCAAGGGGGCGCCGCGAAATTGAAAGTATGTCCCCGGGCGCCGGGAAGGGTCGCTACGCCTCTGAGTCTGCCCATGAGAACACAAAGCAAAAAGTCTGCCTACTTACAAATACTTTGCAAATACCAAAAAAAAAAAAAAAGTCGATAAAGTTCACACAACAAACAGCGCACCCTTCTATAGACGCCGTTGTGCAGACACCCTGGTGTCTCTGTTGTTTCAGTGCCAGCCATCACCACAGCCAAAAACAGCACAAGAAGACACATCACAGCCATCGTGTTATCCTGATCACAGCCACACAACCGAAATAAGTCACTCTCTGGTCCTCGGTTTCATTTATTAACCGTTTCGTTAATTAGCGCTAATTAAATGACACCATGTTGTGAGCTTTGATCCAAATTAAGCGGGACCTTTAACGTGAATGTTTCTAATTGTTTTTATGACGAACCCAACTAAAATATGTACGTAACGAACCTTGCATATTACGACCCCATACAAAATATGTAAGTAACGAACCTTAAAACCCCACCCAAAATATGTAAGTACCTAACCCTGCATATTATGACGACCCCATCCGAAATATGTAATCCAAAATATGTAAGTACAGAACACTGCATTTGACGAACCCACCAAAAATATGTAAGTACTGAACCCTAAAACCCCACCCAAAAAATGTAAGTACCAAACACTGCATATTATGACGACCCCATCCGAAATATGTAAGTACCGAACCCTGCATTTGACGACCCCACCCCAGTCGCCAACATTAAAACCTGTCTTCAGCATGACCCTGACTAATTTGCCCAGGCTGAAATCACCCTCGAAGTCAGTAACTTGAAAGTTTATTTTTGGTTTCAGAGAGGGCAGTAATCAAATGCATTATGGGACATTTTGATGTTAACAAACAGCACAGATTGAGTGATGCCATCATTGCATTCATGATTAGTGCTTTTTCTTTATAATTTGTGCATGATCTGAAGTCATTGCTGTTTGATAAGTTATAGGCCTACTTACAACCCTAAGCATAGTCCCTTTGTGTACACATATTTGATGGGAGGGGGGGGGGGGGTTAATCATCAGACAGCCGGCGATAATTACAACAAAACAAAGCAAAATACACACGTTTTTAAAGGTCTCGCCACTCTCGACATAATTAAAACCGTTACAGCTGGTTTTGGTGTATCAATAATTGCCCTCGGTTTAGCTCCATGGGCAGAGGCGTAGCGAGGGGGGAAGGTGGGGGCGGGGGACATATGTCCCCGGGCGCCGACCTTAGGGGGCGCCAAAATGGGTTGGAAAAATAAATTGAAAACTTGAGGGGGGGGGGGTGCAAATCGGAAGTTTGAAGGGGGGATCGAAAACTTGAGGGGGGGGGGTGCAAATCGAAAGTTTGTCCCCGGGCGCCGGGAAGGGTCGCTACGCCTCTGTTCATAGGTAATAATAAGCAATGGGGGGGGGAGGATATAATACAAAAGCATGCAGGTAATGTAGCCAGAGCCAGTCTTTAAAATCGTCACAAACTCTTCTTTATCCAACACTTCAATTTAGAAACTATGTGTTTTTTTTAAAGCCCTACCCCTATAGCATTAAAGAATAAAATCATTAGCAACCCCTCTGGCTATTCGTTTTATGAATTTATTATACTAAATACTGAACCAGTGTTTCAGGCATCTCTAGGGGGTGGGGCTGCCAGGGACGTAGAGAACTATTCTGGCATCCCTAATTTCAATAGAAGATTGATTTCGCTTCGACACTTAAATTGAAAGAATTAAAAGAAACGTTTGCGTGGAAGAAGGCACGAAAAATGAATATTTGATTTTATTGTCTACTTGTAACGGTTATGCAATTGATAATAAATAATTTAAAAAAAAAACATGTCACTTTTAATTTTTTGTTTTCTTATAGATCTAGATTCTAGATCTCTACATATTTTTTTAAAAAAAATGTAAAAGGTGCGTTTTAATAAGTTTTTCCATGGGCGACAAAATAACAGCTAAAATTCAGTTACTAACATCATCACACGTCGTCAAAACATTTCAATGAATGTGACGTCCGAAAAAAGGAATGCCTGAAAGAAACTCTGCCCTTCAGAATTTGATAATTTCATATCATATTTTCATAAAGTTCATCTTAATTGAGAATTTTCGCCTTTGGATTTAGATCTAGAGTCAATGTGCCATCACGAAAAAAAAAAAACAGTTTTGTCCTTTACCTAACTGAACAAGTGTGTTACTAAGTCTTAGTGTGTTACCCCCCCCCTCCCCATTTTATTAAGATAAATGAGGGGAGATCACTCTCGCTTTTTATTACTGATCTGGTTTTCATTTTGTTAGGGCCTATTTCCTGGAAATGAGGTGTGTTCCTAGACTCTAGATTAGATTACTTAACAGTTACTGTCTAGAATCTAGACTAGATCTAGATCTAGATCTACTTTAACCTAATATAGTATATAGTAATATTATACTAGGCCAAAGCTAGGGTAATTTAACTAATTAATAATTATTAATCTAGAGTTGGAGTAGCCTACTCACTACTCATTAATGGACACGAGCGAGAAAAGTCTCAAAGGTATTTGAGAGGTGTGGCCTATAAATTCATTTAAAAATCATGCACAGCGTAGTTACAATTAATATGGTTATAAAATCCTGTCTATCTGGTTTTTTTCGGACTTTACTAAAGATTGGATGTATTTGATGTTTATAATATTTTCGGTAACTAAATAAAAATTTAAAAAAAAGCAAAAACAATTTGGTTTTCACGTGTAATGGCGACATAAACAATGGCATCCTGCTATTGGATAGGCCGCCATTGATTTTATTGTACACATTGTAAGCTAAAAATAGAAAACTAGGTCATGGGGTTTTAAATTTGCATTGTAATTTAAAAACTTGATCTGCAAAGTTTTGTAAACAAATAGTTATCGATCACTAAGTTACTGTACAGCCAATCAATACTTGTCTTACGAAAGTGAAACATCCGGTTATAACTTAGGCTTGATGAAAATAAATAGAAATGTAGCCTTAAACTCAACAAATTATTTTCAAGTTCTCTGGATTTGCAACTTTTATAACATTTATTCTAAAAATATAAAATTTCTAAATTAATTTTAGGCTTAAGTTTTTATTTTTTATTTTTTTTTACGGTCTAAATCTAAAAAGCACGTTTTTATTCCATGTCAACAACATTGGGGACGGAATCTCGTCAACTCGCTCGCCTCCATTATAGAATATAGGACTCCTATTAGTTACATTAGTAGATCTAGTACGTAACTAGAGTACTAGAGTTTTACAGGGATTAAGAAACAGAATTTTCTAAAATCTAGATCGGTATTAAATATTTAGGTAATCTATCGTTTTAGGTACGTAAAATCGCCCGCAACTAGTAATGTGAAAAACAGGTGACTCCTTACATTTTAATAATTATTTCACATTTTGAAGAGGGTTTGTGTTTTGAAAAATACAAAAATGTTTCCTTGTTTCATTTATGTAAAACTTTTCAGTAATAAATGAACACCAGCGATGTTTCCAACAGATGCAACAATGCTCATTTACTATAGCAGCCATCTTGTTAAAGTTTTATTTTTATAGACTTATAGCGCGAGATTCAGGCGGAAGTCACTCTATTTTACAAATTGTTGCTGTTTATATAGCAAATCTTGCTTGCAGACACTTCTGTTTAAAGTTAATTTCTGGCCTATATTGATATATTTAGCCATTGATTTAGGTTTATTATTCATTTATCTATAATATTTGACACAAACATATCACGATATACTTCTATTACAGCCTTGACAATGAGGTAACGTTTTCGTACATTAATAGCCGCGGGCGATTTTACGTACCCAAAACGATAGATTACCAATATTTATTATAATGAGTAGTATTGTTTTGTAAAATTAAAAAAACACAGAAAAGACTATCATTCTGAAGTTAATTTTTAATAAAATAAAATCTAAAAGTCACTAGATAATTATTATAACATTACAACTCGCCGCTTCACATCCACGGTGGAATGGCCGACCTAGGACCTAGATTCTAGATCTAGTATAAACTAATGCAGAGATTCTTAACCTTTGTGGACATACCAAACCAACCCCACCAGTTTTATGTGTATTCACTGGACCCCTTCTTATTAATAGATCTAGTTCTATTTTCCACATTGATAAATACCAAAAATTATATGTGTCGGGTGTGTGTCTTGACCACCGCCGAACTCCTGAGGTTGACTCACCGAGCCTCTGGGGTTGGATTAAACTGAGGTTAAGAACCACTGCTATAATTTCTATTCTCAGTTTTCAAGTATCAAATTAAAATCATAATGAAAACAAGACAAAGTGACTATATCATTGACAGAAAAAACAAAGGACAGACATAGGGACGCGCTAAGGGCACGCGCTTATAATATAGATATTAGTTTTTTAATGAAAAATCCCAGACATTTGTATTACTGTAAACAGAAATAAAATGGCTAATTTATTATTTGAATAGAATTTGAATCATAATATCTGAAAGGAAAAATGTCAGTTTTGTTACCTACCTCTTTTGTATCTTTGACCAAAATTGTAATGGTATTTTCATTTATCATGTTTCCACTCTAGTATCAGTGTAAGTGTAATTTACATACTCTGAAGATTTGGTATTCTAATATATTAGTAACTCTATTACACTGAATGACTTACTGATACTCTCTCAAAATATGTGGTGGTTAAAAAGATTAACAGGTGACCAATCAAACTGTTGAGATGTGTATTGCATTCTTATTTCAGCCAATGAAATGCAGGCAGAAGAGACCAAAACTGTGGTTATTTTCGACACTGAAACCACTGGCCTGCCCACCCAAGGGAACAAGATCAAGATGACTGAACTGTGTTTTATTGCCATCTCAAGGGAAGAGCTCAACACAAAAGCAGCACCCAGAGTTTTGAACAAGCTCACTCTATGTTTCAACCCTAAAAGACGGATCTGTCATGAGGCTAGTAAGATTTCGAGTAAGTTGATGAGCATATAACTTTGTTGTGATATAATATTATAAATACAGTTTTGTCTCTCAACTGGGCTATATTCACTGTATAAAAAATTTTTCTTAGTGCTATAATTATAAATAATTTTAGTTCATTTTTATTGTAGGTGTCATATTTCTGTAATTGTGGTTTGGAAGGGGGGGGGGGGGTCATTTCATTTTTAGTTGTGGGAGGGAGTTTGATTTTGTAGAGCTGACCAAGGATGCAATGATACACAAGGGGTTAGAGTTACCTTTTGACAAAGTTTAATGTTGTAGGACTCTACAATGATACACATGGGGTTAAGGCTAGGATTTGACGAAGTTTAATTTTGTAGAACTGTACAATGATGCACAAAGTTTAATTTTGTAGAACTGTACAATGATACACATGGGGTTAAGGTTAGAATTTGACAAAGTTTAATTTTGTAGCACTGTACAATGATGCACAAAGTTTAATTTTGTAGGAGTGTATGATGCACAAAGTTTAATTTTGTAGCACTGTACAATCATGCACAAAGTTTAATTTTGTAGGAGTGTATGATGCACAAAATTTAATTTTGTAGGAGAGTATGATGCACAAAGTTTAATTTTGTAGGAGTGTATGATGCACAAAGTTTAATTTTGTAGGAGTGTATGATGCACAAAGTTTAATTTTGTAGCACTGTACAATCATGCACAAAGTTTAATTTTGTAGGAGTGTATGATGCACAAAATTTAATTTTGTAGGAGAGTATGATGCACAAAGTTTAATTTTGTAGGAGTGTATGATGCACAAAGTTTAATTTTGTAGGAGTGTATGATGCACAAAGTTTAATTTTGTAGGAGTGTATGATGCACAAAGTTTAATTTTGTAGGAGTGTATGATGCACAAAGTTTAATTTTGTAGGACTCCACAATGATGCACAAAGTTTAATTTTGTAGGAGTGTATGATGCACAAAGTTTAATTTTGTAGGAGTGTATGATGCACAAAGTTTAATTTTGTAGGAGTGTATGATGCACAAAGTTTAATTTTGTAGGAGTGTATGATGCACAAAGTTTAATTTTGTAGGACTCCACAATGATGCACAAAGTTTAATTTTGTAGGAGTGTATGATGCACAAAGTTTAATTTTTTAGGACTCCACAATGATGCGCTTGAAGGCCAGAAAAGTTTTGCCTGTCAGGCTGACCTGATCAGCACTTTTCTCACAAGTCTGCCTCAGCCTGTTTGTCTTGTTGCACACAATGGGAATAGGTGAGTAGTTAATACTAATAGGATGGTAGGAGACTATAAGCTATGGGAATAGGTGAGTAGCTAACAGGATGGTAGGAGACTATAAGCTATGGGAATAGGTGAGTAGCTAATAGGATGGTAGGAGACTATAAGCTATGGGAATAGGTGAGTAGCTAATAGGATGGTAGGAGACTATAAGCTATGGGAATAGGTGAGTAGCTAATAGGATGGTAGGAGACTATAAGCTATGGGAATAGGTGAGTAGCTAATAGGATGGTAGGAGACTATAAGCTATGGGAATAGGTGAGTAGCTAATACTAATAGGATGGTAGGAGACTATAAGCTATGGGAATAGGTGAGTAGCTAATAGGATGGTAGGAGACTATATAAGTATAAGCTATGGGAATAGGTGAGTAGCTAATAGGATGGTAGGAGACTATAAGCTATGGGAATAGGTGAGTAGCTAATACTAATAGGATGGTAGGAGACTATAGGCTATGGAATAGGTGAGTAGCTAATAGGATGGTAGCAGACTATAAGCCATTGAGTGATCAGCTTATGGTTTGGTGAGTGATAGACTAATGAGTTGGTGAGTGATTGGCTAATGAGTTGTGTGTGATTGGCTTATGGGTTGGCGAGTGATAGACTACTGAGTTGGTGAGTGATTAAATAATGAGTTGGGGAGTGTTTGGCTAATGAGTTGGTGAGTGATTGGCTAATGAGTTGGTGAGTGATTGGCTAATGAGTTGGTGAGTAATAGACTAATGAGTTAGTGAATGATTGGCTTATGAGTTGGAAAGGAAGTGGTATCATGAAGTTTGATTTATATTTTTCTACAAGGTACATGAGCTACTTTCTCTTGTCACCTCCAGATTTGATTACCCTCTGCTGGTCTCAGAATATCTCTCAGCCAAGAAAGACGTCCCTAAGGATATTTTATGTGTTGACAGTTTAGAAGCTTTCAGGGCGTTTGATGGACTTGATTCAGATCCCAGGAAAAGGAAACTTCCAGCATCTTCCATCTGTCAAGCTGCACAAGATGACCAAGTAAAGAATTTGTGCAATACAGCTTCACCAAACAAGCAAACAAAACTTGAGACAGGTTGCTGGAATGTCCAGGAACACACCCCACCTTCAACCAAAATTTGTGTCACCCATCCGTCACCCAAGTTTTTTGAACCCCCCGACCAAAAAGCTAGATCTCTAACAGTGAGACGAAAACTGAAATTGGGTGATGACGGCCCAGCTGGTTCACTGAACTTAGATCAGGCAGAGCAAGCTGCTTGGGATAATTTCAATGGCTCACAGTTTGATGCAGATAGTTTCTATGCCTCAAGTGATGATCATTCTTTGCTTGAAGCTGCAGAAAGTGCTGAGCAGCTGTATTTTAGCCCTGAGAATCAAAATAACTCTGCTGACCAAAGAAAAATGTGTAACGACCAAACAGAAATGACAGCTGATCTGCCAACATACACTAGTTGTGAGCAATCAAATGTGGAAGGTTCTGATACAACTGCTGGTCAGGAGATACCAACACAACTAGAAAATCTTTTAGAAAATTTTCCAAAACCACAACATGAGAACGGTGATGCCCTTCTGGCAAAAAACTCTCAAAAGAAACCAGAGCCAAAACATGTCCAGTCAAATGTTAAGAAATCTTACAAATTGAGTGACATTTATTTTTATCTGTTTAACCAGCAACCCCCTGATTGCCACACAGCTGAAGGTGACTGTCTGACTTTGTTGAGTATAATTAAGCAAAAAGCAGAACTCTTTTGTAGATGGTGTGATGAAAAAGCTGTCCCACTTACAAAAATAGGTCCCTTGTATTAATGCACACATTTTAGCCTATACGCTGGAGTAAAATTATATGTTACGGCCAAAGCTCAAAATGGCCACTTCCCAAATGTCCTCACTAAAGAAGGAAATGAAAACAATGTATTAGAAAACCTGATTTTTAAATGAAATGTTGGTGCAGCATTTCATGTGCTATACCTTGACGCAGTCAGTTTTTACTGTCATGTATTTATATGCTACACTTCGATTGCATTATATTTTTACTGTCATGCATTTATATGCTACACCTTGACTCAGTATATCTTTCCTGTCATGTATTTATATGCTTCACTTTGATTGCAGTACATTTTTCCTGTTATTTACACCTTGATGCAGTATAATCATATTTAGGCGACACTTCTCAGTCAAAGTGCAAAAAGGCCATTCTATTTTGGAACTGGCTAAATTTTGGCTTTGACCAATATATATTTTTAAATTGAGAGATCGATATATAGATACATTATAACAATCAGTCTAATTTGAATTGAATTGAAATATTGCATTTTAAAATGTACTACTTATAAGCATTTACGAAGTTTTATAACTTTTAAAAAATCTATACACTTATTTGACTAATTCAAATATTTTTTAATACTTTATCTAAAAGCTACATGCAGTTATAAGCTGTGTATATTTTAACTACATGTAGCCATAACTGTGTTCACGACAATGCTTTTTACATCAGCTAAAGCATTCTTATACAGTTGTGTTGTTTTACTGATGGGCATTCAATAAGTCAGGGAAAGTAAGTCAAACATATCAATATATACCTAATGATGATGAGGTTAGTTAATATTTAAGACAAAGAATTGGCATTATTAAAAATGAAAAATATTGTGAGGGAGGGAGGAATGGAGGCAGAAGTGTGATGTCATTATTTTTTTTGGGGGGGGGGGGGGGGTCTGTCTGGGATAATGAAAGGCATGTGAGAGAGAGGTAGGGAAGTCAATATTGTGACAATAGTGTAACAACATTTTATATATACGTATATATTTTTATACTTACAAAATCAATTTTATTAGAAAATCCAATGCAGTGAAAAATTTGTGACTTTAATACTGTTAAATTTCTTTCCTAGTATTCTTTTATCTTGTTGGATGAAAATATTTGTTTTATTGTCCAGCAAGATAGTTTAACATAAGTGTTTAAACCTGGCAGTTGTTTAACTATGGGCATTTTTCATGTTAGCATTTATAGTCATGTCAAAATGTATGATGTAATATTTTACAAACAAGTTCCTCTGGGTCATATTTAGTGCTTACACTTACATTTTTTTTATTAGTGCCATATTTTGCAATACGATATTTTACAAGGATCAGTTGATTAAATTAATGGTGCACAATGTTTGTGCAGCTGATGTTAATTAAATGGATCAATTTTCGTGCAGCTGATGTTGATTAAATGACACAATATTTGTGCAGAAGATGTTGATTAAAATAGTAAGATAACCTATTTTCTATAATAATTTTTATTTTGTTGATCATTTTATTTGCACATTTTATATAGGCATACATACATACATACATACATAAAGTAATGTATTTTTTAATGTATAATTTTGATACTTTAAGTAGTTTCTTTTAAAGTATTTCATTGTTCAATGATGTCACTTTATTGCTACCAAATAAACACTAGATGCCTTTCAAGATCTTTGTCTCCATGATTGTTCTTATTTGACCTTTTAAGATTTTTGTCTGTGTCCATGATTTTTCACATTATACCTTTCAAGATCTTTGTGTCCATGATTGTTCATATTTGACCTTTTAAGATCTTTGTCAAATTGTCATCCATCAACATCCATAATATATCTTTCAACCATGGAGATGGTGTTAGAATGGTAGTGGTAAACATTCTGTTATTGAGTGGGTTAAATGGTAGTGGTAAACATTCTCATTGAGTGGTTAAAATGGTAGTGGTAAACATTCTCTCATTGAGTGGGTTAAATGGTAATAGTAAACATTCTCTCAACTAGTGGTAGTGGTAAACATTCTCATTGAGTGGTTTAAATAGTAATAGTAAACATTCTCTCATTGAGTGGTTTAAATGGTAATAGTAAATATTCTCTCAACTAGTGGTAGTGGTAAACATTCTCTCATTGAGTGGTTTAAATGGTAGTGGTCAAATTCTCCGGCTGCCGAGCATGCATTATTAAATAGCACACTGAATATAATAATATCCAAGAAATCATTAAAAAAAAATCACTATAAATAAATAGAATAAAATTCTTATATCTGAAAAGTTGATATACATCAGTCAGGTCTACATTAATTCTTTTGTTTTTTATTTTTAAAAATTTTTATAGACTAAGAAAGGGTACAGAGTACAGAAGTAAAACAGTAGCTTTTGTTGGTTTGAGTTAGTGACATACTAACACTTAGGTTGTCACTGACATATGACACTTATGTTGGCAGTGACATATTGGTAGTGACATGTGACACTTCTTGCCCAGGTACTGTCCAAAACTTGTCCATGGCATCAAACTGTGAGATTGGACCATGTCCATCAAAATTCACCGCCTCAGTTCTAGCTGCCTCTTTCAACAGATTGCTGGTCTAAATGACCCAGACTCCAGTGGACACTGACCACGGAAAAACAACAGAATTAGTCTAGTTTGTTAGAGAGACTGTCACAACACAAAGAGGCCTGTATACTGGGATCATAAAGTAATAAAAATTGATACAGCAATAAAAAGCAATTTTAAAATGGGAAATAACTGTTGCATAGGCATACATTGTGGAAAATCATTTGAAATCATCAGATTGAAAACATTTTATTAGTGTTCCATTTCTGAGTATTTAAATTTAAAAAAAAAAATGTTTTAATTTGATTAAATGTACAAACTCATTTTAAATATATTGAGTTTTGAGGTATAACTTTAAAGAACAAGTCAAAAATAGTTTCAAGCCTGTTGTCTCACAGGCTTTAGAAAATTTTCAACATATTTGAAAAGTTTGTGTCATAATAAAATAAATATTTTTATAATGTGAGCAACCGGCCGCAAACCAGTTACACAACCGCTAATTCAGTTTCGTCTTCGACCGTATCTCTATTGTGGGGTACTTTAAAAACTAACGTAGGCGCCATATTGCTCACATGGGACTCCGATTGCTGTGATTCAACTCACCGCAGGGCGGGGGGGGGGGGGGGCGTTGGACGCGCCTGGTTCGTTTTAGAGTCAACGTGACCCTAGGGAATGACGCTCTTTATAGGCCTGGGCTTAGTATGAAAAAGTGATACACATATTATCTGGAAATATTTTGTAAACTATTATTTAATACATACACCTATTGTATTCGATCAGTGTATATATTTTTATAGTTTGCATCATCATGAAACAATCGAAAAGAAAACAAATAAACAGTAGGCGTACAGGCTTATATTTGGTTTTCTTGCTACTATTATAACACAAGAACTGTTTTCAAATATTAAGCGTATTTTCCGGTAAAGAGATCAACCCTTACCATAAAAAAAACTCAAAACAACAAAGGGCAATATGGAGTACGGAGCGTACAAAATAAAATTAATTTTATCTTGTCTAGCCTAAGTCGCAAATCTACTAGAATCAAATTGTACAAACAGCAACACGTTAGTAAATTAATAAAAGTATAATCTAGATCTTAGCTAAGTAGATCTAGATCTTAATTTGGCCCTAATATTCCTAATAAAATTTAATTTCGAAGAGTTGTCGAAGACTTTTTGTAATCAGATACTCTTTACTCTGAGACAGTCTGAGATACTGACTGAAGTGTACTGCCACTGGTTGGTGTAGTTGGAAGTTTAACTGTTTAAAATAAAGACAAGACGTTCAAGTTTTAGTGTTTATTTTATTTGACTTTTTTTAGGCTTTCAATTATACTTTCAATTTCCATCCATAGCGGCATAGGGCCTAACACACTGACTGAAACAGTTAAAAAGTAAGAAAGAAGACTACACCCACAGTGTCAGTACAGTTAACAACACTTTAACACAGTAACACTGATGACTGATAGATTCTAGATCTAATCTAGCTTAGTAGTAGTACTACTAGATCTAGTACTAGGGTAAAAATTCCGTTGTCGGTACAATGTATGTCAGTGACTGACAGTACTAGAATCTAGATCTGGAATGGCCTAGATTCTAAATGATTTTTTAGTCTCATAGTCATAGTAGGCCTACATGTAAAAATAAACTAGAATCTATGTCAAATTCTTTCCATTTCCATGCACTAGCAGTGAACTGATACTGGTAGTGGTAGTAGTTGCTGCTTAGAGTTGTGTCCGATTCTTATTCAGAAGAAAGGACATGTTTTTTTTTTTTAATAGGCCTAGGGCCTATATTTTCTAATATAGATCTATGAGAAAATGGTTTTATATTTCTCAAATAGGCTAACTATTATTACTAAATTAAATATACACTAATAAAATTATAGTTTTTATGTAGGCCTAGGCCTACAACATTCTGTAAAAATAAATTGAGTAGCTCTTCAAAGATGAATAATAAGGAGTCATCCATTTATAATGAATTTTTAGAAACAAGAAATAGATAGAATCTCTGCCAACTTATTACAGGCTGTCATTTGGTGCTTATTTGTGATGGACAGCTGCCATGTTACTCATGCGCCCACTGTCTTTCACTTGCCATGGAAATGAGCTAAAACTAAATCAATATTAGTTCTTTTCACTATTGTACATTTAAGTTTTATTTTAATTCCCAGGTTTTGAGGATTACTCTTGTGATAATATTACACTGACGTAGCTTCAGAGGAGTTTCTTCTGTGTAGACCTAAGAACAAAATTGGATTACTTTATCACCAAGCTCAATGAGTGTTGTGATGGACCCCCAGATGCTGGAAGAAAAGATGAATGAAGCCAGGGGTAAGTTTGAGAGATCCTGCCAGCAGATTGTCTTGCTGGACCAGAAGATCAAGGACCTGGAGATCAGGTACAAGCGGGCCGTCAAGAATAAGAAAAACTCATTCAGGTACAACCTGCGCCTGCGGCTGTCCGTCGTTACGGGTGTGAAAATGATGTATCATCATTACGCTAGCACTAAGGCTGAAGAGCTGTCGAAGTTGAGGAGAATGATGCCCCCTGCGGAGAGACCTGCTACTCAGATCATCAACTCAGCTTGCTGATCATGCAGAATCAAAGTGACACTTTTTTTGGTGTGGTAAAATTGTGTAGATAATTTTTTTATTTGTGAATGATATTTACTGGTATTTTTAACAATTAGTATTGTAACCATTTTGTTGTCATGCTTCAACTTGTCGGTAAGTTGTATAAAATATTCACAAGTAAATTCAGATTATATTTTATGATATGGTTGAGGAGTTTTAATTGCTTGATTATTAAGTGTAACGTGAGGGTCTTGAAATATGTACCACTTATTGTATTTTCAATGGACACTTCTTGCAATTCATTGGCTGTTATCTTTTATTTTTCTTGTAGTTTATTTGTACTGTTTTTTTTAATTTGTGGGCTATACCTTCCAACAACTGAGGCTTAGGCTGTAAATAAAATCAGTACACTGCTCTTTGAATTAAATAGTTCTTGTGAAGTTTTTAACAAGTCGGTATTGGACCAGGTAGCACATCACCCTGTGTTGGACCTAGCCCAGGTGCATGATAGCTACTCTCCTACTGAGGCTGTTTTTTTTTTAAATTTATTACAATTATAAGTATTACGGTATTTTTCAGTTACCATGGTGACGGTTGATTTTTATTTTTGTAACAAGTTGTACAGCACTTAATTTGATATTTTCAAAATTTAGACCTTGATATACATTCATGTTTAATATATGTTATACCACCTTGATGCATGTATAATGTATTTTTCTAAAGCATTGATATTGTAATATATACAATTTTAAAATTATAAAACAATCTTTTAACCATATAATGTTGTTTAACTACCTTGCGATATCTTGTTCTATGTAGACCATATCTAAAAAATATCTAAAATAAAAATAAGTTTTGATCGAATAAGTAATTGAACTTTCACAATGAAAAGGTTCTAATTATATTTTTAGCTTTTAATCAGAAATTTAACAGACTCCATTATTTATGTAGTGTAATGTGTATAGATATAATAATTATGGAAGGCTTAAAAAAGCAATAGCTGTCATTTGGGATGATATGGAATTATTTCTATTTTGCAATAGCTATTATTTTGTTGGGGTGAGAGTTGAACAAAGTTATTTTGAGTAAAGTGTATTATATATCATGACAGTTCTTGATCTCGTGGAAAAAAATTGATAGAATGCTTAGCATTGGTTTTATATATTTAAAGGCAGAATGTTTAGTTGCAGTTGATAAATGAATACTGAGTGTATGTTTTCCCACCTTAAGTAAAATAAATGGAAATGATAGCTGCAGTGTGGTTTATGCAAATAGTTATATGACAGGTGATGTTTGTATCCCCACAAAAAAAAAAAAACAGTTACAGTCAGGTTTAGTTGATGTTTCAACCCAAGGTCTTCACCAGCACACAGCAGTGTAGTTGAAGACTTAAGAAGAATAAACCTTCTATCAAGAATTTTAATTTGTCTGTAAAAACAAGTGACCAGTATTTTTTGGTCATTGATCTATTTCTGTGTCCGCTGCATATCTGGTTAATACAGTGCCCAGGTGCCTTTACCTTCCCTGACCCACGTCAGAGATCCACTAGGGGCTGGTCAGAGAAATGGGCGCCCTAAAGACTGCTGCGGGATTCAAACTCTAGTCCTTGAAGTTTGTTGTCATGTGCTCAACAATCTGTTGGCAAACTGGTTTGTAGCCTTTTAAAGGGTAGTTTTAAAATGATGTGTAACTTTCTGTCTGGTTGGTAAGTCTCTTGAAGAAATGTTTAAAATTTTGCGTAACTTTTCGTCTTGTTTATAGTAAATCTTTTGAAGAATTGTTTACATTTAGCATAACTTCTGTCTGGTTGGTAAGTCTTTTGAAGAACTGTATAAAATTTTGCGCAACTTTCTATCTAGTTGATAGCTTACTTAAACATTGAAAAATTGTGTGTAACATTCTATCAACCTGTCATTTACTAGCACATACATCATACCTCTAATGAATTCACAACCACCATATGTAATGTTGTAACAGTGTTTTAGTGTAATATGAAAATGTAAAATTGTAGTTTAACTTTCATGTTCATGGCATTGTGACAAAAATTTGTATCCAAAAACTTGACACTAAAATGTGTTTAGCTCCAACTTTTTGCTCTTGTGGTTGAACTTTTGTGTAGTTTAACAAATTTTAAGTGATGGCATTTTTTTTTTCATTTTGAAATAGTACAGTATAATAAACATTTTGAACTTCTATCATAAGTTTTTATTTTTTTTTACCTTCTTCAAACACAGTGTCTTAATTCTATCCAGTGGCGTAGCGAGGTCGGGTGTCACCCGGTGCGGCACTTAATGGTGTCACCCCCCCAGAGGCGTTGCGACCCTTCCCGGGGACAAACTTTCAAGTTTTCAATTTGCACCCTCCCCCTCAAACTTTCGATTTGCACCCCCCCACCCTCAAGTTTTTCTCTATATATTTTGCTATTTTTTGCCTTGGTGTCATATCTGTAATATCCACTTGTCTCATTAAAGGGGAAAAAAACATCACCTCCAACGTTTAAAAATTATGAAGTAGATATTTTGAAAGACAGTTAAAATACATAGAGCATTTCCTGATCAAAGAAAATCCTAAAAAAAAATTCACTGTGAAGAAAAAGTTCTGGACGTCCTGTTTGAATCAGCTGTGTGAATCATCCTTGTCGTGTGAGCTTTTTGAAAACAAATTAGTGAATGGTGCTGACAGGTTGGCAAACAGAGACACGATCGTTTTGCTTTTATAAGTTCCATGTTGTTGAAATATCGTATACACTTTGCATGCAAATTAAAAATTCTTTTTGACTAAAAATGTTGTTAAATGTAATGTGGACGTTCACGTAGATCTGACCCCCCCCCCCCCCACCATACACACACACACAAACATGGTCATTTGTTGCGTCCACCCCTCTTCCTCCTCCCCGTGGACATTATAATTGGATGACCCCAAACCGAGCACTCCGCCACTCGACAAGGAGGTCCCGTAATGAATAAACTGATACATTCAGGAACAGAGGCGTAGCGACCCTTTCCGGGGACAAACTTTTCGATGATTTGCACCCCCCCCCCCTCAAGATTTCGATTTGCACCCCCCCCCCCCCCCCCTCGAGATTTCGATTTGCACCCCCCTCATCCTTTCAATTTATTTTTCCAACCCATTTTGGCGCCCCCTAAGGTCGGCGCCCGGGGACATGTCCCGCCCCCCTACCCTCTCGCTACGCTACTGTTCAGGAAAAATCTGGAATCGGACACGTGATCAGTGGTTCAAAGAAAGGCCTAAAAAAAATTCACTGTGAAGAAAAACTTCTGGATGTCCTGTTGACATCAGCTGTGTGAATCATCCTTGAAGTGAAGTGTGAGCTTTATGAAAACAAATTAGTGAACGTTGTTGACAAGTTGGCACACTTATAGACACGATCCTTTTGCTCTGCTAAGGTCTGTTAATAAAGACGAACACTGCTATTGATTGAAATGTAGGACCATACATCTTGCATGCAAATTTTAAAAAATCTTGTTGTACACAATTTTTGTTGATAAATGTTTAAAGTAATGTGGACGTCCACGTTGATCTGATCCTCCTCCCCCCCCCCCCCCTCCACACACACAAGCATTGCCATTTTTAGCGTCCACCAATGTGGACATTATAATTGGATGACCCCAAACCGAGCAGTCCGCCATTCGAAATGGAGGTCCCGTATTGAATAAATTGATACATTCAGGAAAAATCTTGAATCGGACACGTGATCAGTGGTTACGTCCCCCTACCCCCATACACACACATTTCCCTTGACCAGTTCGTATACTAGCGTACGTCTCTTCCCCCCCCCCCCCCCTCCCACCATACACACATTTCCCTTGACCAGTTCGTCGACTCGCTTTCTATCACGAACGATAACTCCTTCCAACTATAAACGATCCGATTACGCTTAAGTTGAAACGGTACATAGGAATGGAGGGAGCGCACAATTCGCTCCGTCATCACATTGATATGTGACGTATACTTACACTGCCTTCATTGGGAAACAAGCCAAAAACAAACAGACAAGTGACTTGGAATTAATGAACAACGAAAACAAGCTGTGGTTGTTTTCTAGGGTGGGGGATTGTATAGACTGAGGCGTAGCTACTGGGGGAGTAGAGGAAGCTGTCGCTCACCATGAGGCAGAGGCGTAGCGAGAGGGGGGGGGGGGGGGAGCGGACCGCACGGGGTGACACCATTTAGGGGGGGGGGGGTGACACCAAGGCAAAAAATAGCTAAAAAACATGAGGAGGGGGGTGCAAATCGAAAATTTGAAAGTTTGTCCCCGGGAAGGGTCGCTACGCCTCTGGAGGGGGGTGACGCCATTAAGTGCCGCACCGGGTGACACCTGACCTCGCTACGCCACTGCCATGAGGGCATTTTACACAGAGTGCGTGGTGCTTGGAATACTTATTCAACTAAAATGTTTTTCGCATAACCTCGTTACGTTTTGGTGTTATAGTATTTTATCACACGCACAAAAATTACACAGGAGTAAGCCTTTTTAAAGATGTAAGAAATCGTTTTATAACAATTGTGCGTGTCGTAAAAATCGCATGCACTTTCGATTATGCGTTCAAAGGGAAAATGGTAGGCTAGCTGTGGTGTTGGCCGTTCTGCAGTCTTATTTTTGATGCCCCTGTTATATGGGGGGGGGGGGGGGGGGATTTCCGTTGACTTCCAAGTTGTTACAAATCGATGAACTAAACATATCCACATTTACAGTCTGTCACCGATCAAAAGAAATCAAGCCAAAGTGGTCAATTAATTTATAAAACATATCAAAGAAAGTACAAAAATACGATTTCTTCTTAGATATATAGATCTAGCTAATTAAAAACGAAGCGGAATACAATTTATACTAGTATTGAAAGAAATGCGTCTAAAATGTTTAGCTTAAAAATCTTGCTTTAAAAAACCTCGGTAAAACGGTTGCTTGCAGTTGACACACCTGCCGTACCTGTATTCCCTCCTCGCCATACGACACTGTCACCGAGGTCACATGATCGATTGTTTGGAATACACCCCAGCCGAGAAAAGAGTTCTACTGTAGGCCAGTGGATATGTAAGGCTGGTAGGCCCTATTTCGTTTCGCAATGCGGAAACAATTCTTCTGCTGTGTGCTTTCGGTGTAGGATAGGTGTGGGAAAAAATAAACACATTCGTTTCATGTTGCCTACAAGTAAACTAGAACAAAAATGTCTAGTTTTGTTTGGTGTGTAAGGACGCTGACATGATAAAATAAAATGTATTAAACTTTTCAAACTTCAACACATTGACTGGATTAAAATATTTAAAAAATAAAATTGTGTAAAAATTTCTTCAGATTTTGTCGCCAACACGGAAACCAACACGCAGGTTTGTGACCGATTTTAAAATAAACATGGGAAATTGGGTTAGCCAAACCAGTTTAGCTTAATGATAATTAATAATTACATCTTTAAGATGATAGTTTTAGACTGGTTTCTTGAACTAAAATCAAATATTAAATAATAAATATGGTCAGTGTCCACTATAATTATAAGTTTAGTGTGTGTGTGTGTGTTGCTTTCTCGGTGTGTCGTTTGGGTTGACTCACAAGTCACAGGTAAAATAAAAAATGGCACACCACGTCCGTTTCAGGTGTTTTATTAAGTAATTTATTAAGTATTTAAACTTTTATTTCTTAGTCCATAAATTATTAAAGAATAACGGTTCACGTATAACATTCATTTTAGCTTCCACTTGTAAAATCAGACATGAGGCCTACTTACTTTGTGTAGGCATACAGCTTTTGTGGCTTATAGATTTTTAAGGCGTTGTTTTTGAGCCTCAGACAAAAGAAGTCTAGATCTAGCATTTTTTAAGTTACTTCCCTTACATTCTTACTTCAACTGCTAGAGTTGACCTATGCTATGTGATAAATATATAGATCTATATAGGCCTATATATATATATATATATATAGCCTATATATATATATATATATATATATATATATATATATATATATATATATTATATATATATCCAGAATTGAAAATTGATAGGCCTATTAATTAGTATTATGGCCAGTTAAAAGCCCACACCATTTGAAATATGTAGTAAGTAGTAGGCCTAGATTTATATAGAATCTAGTAGTATATTGAAATAGGCCTTATATTATATATAATATAGAGAGAGATTCTAGGACTAGATCCTCAACCCCATCTGGGATATTTTCAAATTTAGGATATCTAGATATTGGCTACCAAACCACCATTATCCAATGCTGTTTGTTAATCTCATAGGCTCAGCCTTTGTCAGAGTTATTGTTTAGTTTTCTAATATTAGTAATAAGGCCATACCGCATGTGTCTGATAAATCAATGGACCCTCATTTGTTTATACTGGTGTTGTATCAATGTTTGCTGGCATTATAAATCCTACAGTAAATACACAGGCCAGCCAACTAGTGTTTGGTGATAGCATAAATCCTACAAATTAAAAAAATACCCAGCGTACGTGGACAGTATGTTGTATTTATAAATTTTTGTAAGACCCTACGTCACCAGTTGCATGATAGGTTTATTCAAACATAAAACAGCTGGGGATTAATCAATATTTGGGCTGGTTTTGTTTATAGGAGATCTATTTTTTTATTATTGCGCCATAGTTAGATTGTGATTTACAATTGTTGGTCATAAATTATGGTCCAATATTTTTTAATAAATGTCTTGGTCTGTATACAGCCACTATCAAAATCAATATGCTTGAGAAAGGGTTGGTTAGTATTATGTTGTCACACATTTGAACATACAATGGTGTTTATGTTTTACAACCGATTCAAGTGTGGTATTTACAACATATAGAAGTATTTGAATGGTGGTTTTTACAACACAGAAGGGTTGTTTCTAATGTATACAAGGTTTGCTTATTAGGTTACAAAGTTGGGACATATATATTATAGGTACAAGGCACACTGCTTTGGTAGTTCAACTAGACAGAATAAATATATCTTTTATAGGTACCACACAGACAACCACATTAAAAGACCACTGTATCACTATTCAAAAGCTACCACAACTACAGCTTTACCATAATCTCTTGTTAACTTATAAAAACCAGGTCTGTTCTGACTGTATCAGGTACAATCCATGTTAAAAGTCCTAAACCTTGAAGTTAGTGAAGTACCCTGTCTGAATAGACAGTCCATGGTGGTCGATGAAGTAGCGTTCATCTGTTTCTTTAACCATGGCATTGCAAAGGCTAGTGGAGTTATCATTTTATGCCCATCTGTCTTTTCTTTCCTCAACTTGTCATGTACATGTACCCATCAAAACTGATTCAACTGAAGCATGTCAGAAACCTAACTCAAGACTATTGTGCTTGTAATTGTTATAATGCTCAACTTAACTACACCCTCCCTTTTAAACTCCAGTTGTAATCTAAGACTAATGTATTACAATATGTGACTCACAAACACATTCAATTGTTTAACAGATCTATTCACCTCTGCATACATTTATCAAGCAAAAACTTCCCAAATCTGCCCTATTCTAGCTATACAGCAGATAAATTTTGTTTAAAGCTGCCTAATAGAATGACTTGCCAAATAAACATTGTTTGGTTGTTGTTTTTTTACAATACATGTATCACACCCCCAGCTTTCAGTTGTCATGCAGTAAATTAATTGCAAGCATTTTGAATGGGTGAATCAGTTGTTTGTGTGTTTTTTCCATTCAATATGATAATGTAAGGGGCACAGAAACATGTTTAACAGAGACTAATTGAAAGCTAACTTAACTACAGAGAAATTAAATTATAATGGAAGGTTATGCAAGAGTAAATGTTAACTACAACATAGTGTAGTGTAAGTTCTATAGTTTGCCAAACTATTTGTTTGTTAATATAAAATTCAACAAGTTAAATAAATAAATTATATAGGCCTAGTTACTTAAAATTAGAAATGTTATTTTCTGTGGCTCTAATTTTAATTAAAATTTAAACAAAATACCTTTATCTAGCTTGGCTAGTTTTTGTCACAAATGCTTTGTTGTTGAGGGTTTTATTGTCAAAATTTTGAACTTATTTTTGAGGAAATATTTTGCACTCTAACATCTAATTTGATAGAAAAACTAAATAAAACCATTAAACCTATCTTTTACAGATGCCACTAGAGAGACTATTCTATTTTATCTGCCTGTAACTCGACTAGAGCTACAATGGAAGCTCCAGCTCAGGGTGAAGTTTACAGCAATGCTGACCAGAGTTTTGTAGTGGACTGTCCACAAAGAGAGGGCTATCCACTTACAGAGGGCTGTCCACTAACAGAGGGCTGTTCTAAGATGTGTACTCACGTAAGGTGCTGTCATGCTAAGTGCAGAAGCACCAATGGTGCTAGAAGACAGGGCTGTCATTCACTGTGCAGCTGCACAAAGGATTATCACACCACATGTTGTAACAAAACAGATTCTCCGCCTGAGTATAGGAATACAAAGATTTTTCTTTCTGTGTGTAATGGCACAAAGGGTAGTTGCACAAAGTACTTTAACACAAGGGGTAGTAGCACAAAAGATTATCATCCTGCCCATAGCAGCACTTTAACAAAGCACCGTGCAGTGCTGAGAAAGTACCACTGGACTATTGCAGTACTCCTACTCATAATACCACCCCATACCACAGCTCAGAACAACTCAGTCTGCCTGAATGCAACATCCTCTTTAATTGTCCCTAACTACACATGGAACCTCACTGCTACTCTTGCAGTCTCATTCTCAGCGTGTTCAGACTCTGGAACTTTGTTAACCACATCATCATCATCACCATCATCATCCACCACTCAGGAACTTCGACTAGCCTTATCAAACAACTCTGTTGTTTTTGCTTGGAACATCAGCGGACAATCTGGCATAGCTGCTGTCAAGTATTGGGTCAACAAAAACTCATGGTATATGGTGAAGATGGAGTACATTGGAGGCGATCTGAATCTCACCCTGCTTCAAGGGACCAAGGCTGTGGCCAGCGCTGTGCTTGTGGCCAACTCCAACTTCAATTCATTTCTTCTCAACGTCAGGTATGTTCTCACTGTTAAGTTTTACAATGGTTCTCAAATATTTAGTGTGCCCTCCAACTTCAATTCCTTTCTTCTAAACGTCAGATATGTTGTCACTGTTAAGTTTTACAATGGTTCTCAAAATATCTAGTGAGCACTCATTGGTGTATTAAACGGGAGGCTATAAGTCAGCAGCCAAGGGCCCCTAACCGTATCCAATAATTGATAGTAAACCAGTAAACATTTGAGTTTCCTATAATCGCTAATTCAATTTCAGTGGATTGTTCACATATCAAAGAACAAACAATTTGACATTTTGTTTTACACACCCCTACCGAGATAATATTATTATATAACATTTCCACAGACCAATGGTTCTTAACCTTTTTGGACGTACAGAACACCACCTGTTTCATTTGCTCATTCACCAAACACTTCGTAACAGTTCTATTATCTGCACTGACAAAACCCATCAAATTGTGAAATGTATGAGTCTGGTGTGTGTCTTGACCTCTGCTGAACCCCTGAGACTGAATCAGTGAATACATGGGGTTTGATTAATCAATCCCAGGCTAAAAACCATTGCCATAGAATCAACTTGCATGCCCCCCCCCCCCCCCCCTCCACCCATTGCCATAGACTCAACATGCCCCCCACAAATCTAGTACTTAGTTTTCCCATAGGTGCAATTTACCCATAGAATTAACATGCCCCCCCCCCCCCCCCCCCCACACACACACACAAATCTAGATACAATTTACTGATAGATCAAAAAGAATACCAGAACTTAAATGTTTAGTTTCACAAGCTTCCACAGTGGAAACATTTCAAGAATTCCTAATTGGTGACAATACAGTTAAAACAGCTATTTGATGTCCATTATATTTGAGCAGTAGGACAAAGAGCATCACATGTGATTGCTGTGATCATGTAACAGGTGTTTTATTTTCTTCAAGCTCTCAAGATCTAAATAATTTTGTTTTATATGTGCAGTTTAGTTAGTAGCTTACATGGCTAATTTACTTACTTACTTGTGGGGCCCTCCTTTACTTATCCATTCATGTGGGCCTATAGGGTCGACTATCAATGACGTCACACCGTAGGGGGATGGGGAGTCCGTAATTTTGTGACTGTGTATGACGAGGGGGAGGGGGGGGGGGTTCTGATGGTGGGACGTCACATTTTTGCATTAACAAAAAGTAATGTTAGAAAACAAATTTTAGCCGTTATTTCGCGATTTAGAAAACTGTTTTAATAAATTGTAATAGGAATTGATTAAAATGTTGAGAGAGTTCAGACAAGATTTTGGAAAAACATCGATGTTTTAAGAAAAATTTATCTGCAATTGGAGGGGGGTTGTAGGCTGAGGTGTGACGTCATTTTAGGGAGGAGGTCTGGCTTTTTGTGACGATGTGTGACGGAGGGGAGGGAGGGAGATAAAAATCGTCAAAAAAAGCTTGACGTTATTTATGGATGACCCCTATCTTTACTTACCTCAGTCCTGTATATAAATTCATGTGAAGATGAATTGGGCGTAACATTTGCTTACTAAATTATAAAATGTAACGTGTTTGATATTAAAACACGTTTTATAATGTATAAACAGATGAGCACACATTGAGACTTGAGCAATACCGATGGGTTGGACTAATTGTAAAATAGTTATCTCCCATTAAGTGATAACATAAATAGAGGCAGACAACTCAGGATTAATTTCCGAAAAATTAGTACTGGGACAAACACATACGCGTGGAACAAAATTTAAAATACAGTATACCAGAACTTTAACTGACCACATAATTGCAATAACAAGTTTTATAGCAGTATTCCGATTGAGCAAAGTCGCAAATTGAAATTCAACAGTATGCAAATTTCGAATACCCTTTGCGTACTTACGTTTATATCCCTTATAATGCTATAAACATTTGGTTAAGTTTCAGTCAGTACACTGTATCCTCTGGAGTTTGTATTTGATTGTGAATCGCAACAGCTTGAAAAATAAAATACGCTAAAATGGAGTTTTACCGAATTTTATACCAGTCACCAGTATCCGATAAAATGAGAAAATGAGCTCACAACGTGGCAATGTTTCTCGCACACGAAAACAGAAATATCAGAATAACAGAGCCTTCAAAAATGACATGCATGATCAATCTGACAAAACAAAACTCATTAACAACTTGAATTTTGAAGGCATTTGTCTTCGCTGTAAGGATATAATTCAATGGAAAATAAAGTACAAAAAATACAAACCATTATCCCAGCCTGCTACATGTGTCAGATGTCACAAGAAAACTGTGAAGAGAGCTTATTACACAGTGTGTCAGCCTTGTGCAACCCAAGTTAAAGTTTGTGCTAAATGTAATACCAAACAAGATAGTATAATACAGACGGGGCAGAGTGAGGAAGAAAAGAAAGCCCAAGAAGAGCAATTAAAATTTGAAGATCAGCACTTAAAGGAAAGGCAGAGAAGAACTTTATATCGACATATTGAGAAGGGAGAGAATCCTGAAGATGTTCTTGGGGCAACTGCTTTCAAAGATGATTTGGATGATGATGAAGAAGATGATGATGAAGATAGTAGTGATGAAGATTTTTAGCTATTATTTACAATAAAACTATATGGTCATTAAAAATGAAAAAAAAAAACAGTTTGAAAAATAAAGTCATCCATCATGCCTATGTTCCTAAATTCTCTCCAAACCCATGTTTTGGACTTTGCTCAACAAAAGACAGTATGAGATGTCAAAGACTTTGGTTATAGAACGTGAAGGTCTCCCTCTTGAGCAGATGGCAGTGTTCTATGAAGGCCAGTCATCAGAAGATTCCTGTGAGCTTGTAACTTTCAGAAATGAGGCAACATTGAATGTTGAGCTGCGCTGGCTTGGAGGTAAAGTCCATGGATGTTTGGCTCGTGCTGGTAAAGTACGTGGGCAGACACCTAGAGTTGATAAACAAGAAAAGAAAAAAGGAAAGACTGGCCGTGTCAAACGTCGTATGCAGCAGTGGCGTAGCGAGGTCGGGTGTCACCCGGTACGGCACTCAATGGTGTCACCCCCCAGAGGCGTAGTGACTCTTCCCGGGGACAAACCTTCAATTTTCAATTTGCACCCCCCCCCCCTCAATCTTTCGATTTACACCCCCCCTCAATATTTTCTCTTTATATTTTACTATTTTTTTTTGCCTATTTGTCACCCCCTCGCCTAAATGGTGTCACCCGGTGCGGTCCGCACCCCCCGCCCCCCCCCCCCCCTCGCTACGCCTCTGGTATGCAGTACAACCGTAGATTCGTAAATGTTGTCGCTGGCTTTGGGAGAAAGAAGGGACTCAATGCCCGCTCATAGGTTTTATTGAATGTACAATAAAAAATAAACTCGCACGAAAAAAAGTGTTAGCAAAGCAGCGTTTCTGACATCCGCTGAAAACTATAATTCTTAGAACAAAGGATGAGGTCGTTTTTGAGTCAGCAGCATCAGCGAGCACAGAACCAATTAAAAACCTAACATCATACAAAAAAGAGCACAGAACCAATTAAAAACCTAACATCATATTTTTTTGTCGTCTCAGGCTCACAGGTAACCTGCGGGTGGGTTCCGCTGGATATATCGGCTGTGTGCACCAGGGGTCGGGGCTCTTCTCCACCGCCACAGCCACCCCTGGCGTCATTTGGGATTACCCTTGGTCGACGAATCCGCTGTGTCCATACGGTGAGTACAGGATAGTTGTTAACACCACTACCACCTACAGGTCACTCTCCTTTCTTCCTTGATCCGCCCCTACCTCATTCTACAATCCACCCACACTTAATTATATTCTCTTCAACCTTCAAAAATCCACCCACACCTTTTCCCCAACCTACCCCCCCCCCCCCCCCACCAATATATGCAACAAATATGTCTCTATATATTGTTTAGCTAATCCACTGGTCGGAAGTGTAGCCTTATCAAAGGGACGCAAACCTTGGTAATGTTCCATACTAATCCAAGGGAGACAATAATCATTTCACTAGTCAAGACACATCCCGGGGATAAAGTAATTTAGTCCTATCATTAGATACTTTAATTTTATATTTGTTACCGAACACAGTGCTTAAAAATCTAGGTTACTAGAAAATCTAAGGAAGCACAAATATGTAGCGGTTATTTTCTTTTATTATAGGTGCGTTATTTTTCTCGCTCGTATATAGCACGAACATTTCTCCAGATGACACGAAAGCCAACAATCCGCCAGATGACCCCCCATACTTGACCTTTCACTCGTGTCTAATTACACCCCTCGCCATAACCCGCCCACTTATCAGCTTTATCACCATACCCCTCCTCGTTAACCCACCCCCCCCTCCCACACCAACTAGACAGACACAAACCATGTGACCTTATCTGTAGCTATTGTGTCTGCTGCGTGTCACCCCCCCCCCCCCCCCCAATCTGCTCGGTCACTCCTGAAGCGTTTTGACCAAAGGTCAGCGTGAGCTATGCAGTGGTCAGCATACCGGTAACATACTACTGTGGATAGTACAGGGATGTCCAGAAAGAAGGGGGGGGGGGGTGATTTTTTTCTCCAAATATGCCAGGCTCTGGTTTTTACTCAGACGCTTTATTAATTTAATTACGCAACAGGATTAATGAGTTTCTGAGCTGTAATGAAGCGGGCTAGCATTTCCTTGAGCATTCCCTGTGAATGGAGACACGATTCTTCTACTGTTAAGCATTTGCAAGAGCAAATTTATATTGTAAGGTGGAAATAAGTATTAAAAAGGAATGTTAAAACTTAAACACTAAGTTACTGTCAACGAATAATCTTGATGAGCAAGCCCGGCTTTTCAAAATTCAGACATAAAATTCTGTTTCGTATAACGCTACGACCCACCTTGAACTATAACACACGTTTTTTTTTTTAATTTTTTATTAAAAATATCGGACTGAAATGCTAATTTTGACGCGCCTTCCTTATTATGTTAAGACCAAAATTAAATATAGGCCTAGGCAAATATAGAGTCTAGAGATACTCTACTCGAAATGGTGTTGAATATGAATTGAATGTTTGGCCGAATTGTGTAAAAAACATGTAGCTGCATTATTTAAATAAATTTATTTTTGAAATATAATATTTATTTTTATTTTGAAGATTTGATAAAATGTTTTGCTCAAGTGTTAAAAAATCCATCCTCCTTTTATTATTTTACCTCACGAAATACAACACTCGCCGAGGTAGGTTGTCTTGCCCGTACTACCACAAAAACCGTTTCTGACAGGCTAAGTGTTACCCGAGTAACTCACCCCCCCCCCCCCCCTTTGTGACAGGGTAAGCCTACCCGTGACATCACTTTCCCCAGACATCACTTTCCCCAGCCTACCTGAACGAACAACCCTATCGGATTGAACCATACAGGGATTTTTTTTTTATCAACGATCTCCTCCCTCCCCCCTCCCCCACCCCATTCTCAAGTAGCGAATATTTTCACCTGACACACGCCCCGACGGCCACAATGGCCAGCTGTCTCGGTGTGGGAAATTTAAAAACTGATGTGTTGTATTCGCTCGCGATGTGCTGTGTTGCGTGTGTCGCGCTGACCTCGGGTGTGTCGTTTGTAAGACGGTATGGATCTTAGCAAGGGACGTAACCATTCAGGACATAGATTCGCCGCAGGAAATTGTGTTCTCGAACGACAATTTTTAATTATATTTGGATTTGCGACAAACGCGAAGATTATCTGGCATGTTTATCTGCCTGTTGACACTGGCGAAGGGAAAGTTTGTGTACTAAAAACTTCAAACAGTCCTTAGCAGACGACAAGGATGTGTTGTTGTTCTTTTTGGTGTTGCGCCGCTTTGTGACTGTATCGTACATGGTCAGAGGTCATAGGTCAAGCTTATTGGTGTTAGATACTAGCTACTAAGTGGAATTCTTATGGTACGGTATAAAAGTATATGGTTTAAATATTCCTATGTGATCTCAGCGCTATCTTTGGATATCACTTTCTACATTTATTCAGTGGCTGTGGATTGATAAGAATTGGTTTACATTCTAAAGTGGAATTTTTATAATATATAATAGTGTATTTTCATGTGAAATGTTCAATGGATATGAGCCTATAAGGATTTTGATCCCACACGTTTTAGATTTTTTCTATCTATAAAAAGAGCATACATTTATATATTTTAAACAGTAAAATCATAGTTTTTGAAAATTATCGGCGAAATCCGAGACAGATGATAACTAAATCTACGAAAACTGAAGTTTCAGAGTATGTATTTGCCGAATACAAGAGTGATGTTTTTTTTTTCATCCGTGTGAAGGGGAGGGGGTGTGCTAGTCAGTTAACTGTCTTTACAAAGCATATTTTGTTAGAATTTAAAGTTTGGCGACCGAAAGTAAGATGATACAAGTCACCGTTGTTTTTACTGGCTACCCTTTATACACGATGCTGGTACGACACATGTCAGTCCAATGGCTCGGTTAGCACCCAGGTCTCATATCATGTCACACGTTGAGCACCTCACCCCAACATGTCGCCCCGATTTGCCCACATTCTTTGCCCATCATGTCACCCCGATATACCATTTTTAGCCCCTACGTCTTATCACTTTACCCCGTTAGCCCATTTAGCCCCTATGGTTAATGCTCTGTACTGTCATTCCATTACCACTTCTTTCCATCTCGTCAACTACTTTTAGACCTGTTTTTAAAGATTCACTTTCATATCCGCCCTGTTGTTACATAGAAGACACCTTGTGGTCACGGTCCACTAACTCGCGCACACTTAAACGGTCCAGTGAACTACTTCCGCCCTCGGTGTGATGTAACCACCAGGCTCCTACCTGACCAAACGGGTACGTGTTTACCTGGTCTACCCGGGGTTGGTCGTGCGAGCCTTACCTGGCGTGCTGAACTACCTGTGTCCATATTGCTCAAGTGTTCATGTTTATATTAACGTCTTTCTAAAACTCTACCCCCCCCCCCCCCAGCCCCACATATCAAATACACACATACATACAGGCACAGACACACACATACACAGACAGATACACAGACACAAAAACACAGACACATATACCTACAGACACACAGACATAAATACACATACACATACAGACATACACACAGACACACATATACACACAGACAGACACACAGTCAGGCACAAAAACAAAAACACAAACACCTACAGACACACAGACAGACACATACACAGACACATACACAAACACATACACATACAGACATACACTCACACAGAAGGATATACAAACACAGACAACACACCTCCTGGTTTGAAATTGTATCCTTGATGTTTTAGCCCAGCCACCACGACCCTTTCAAAACGACACGAAACCTCGCTGTACTACATTTGCTATAGGCTGGTGTTAGGTCTCAAAGAAGAAAAAAAACTTTGAGATTACCTTTGTCACACTTGTAAGGCGCATTGGCTGGTATCTCTACCATAACTTTAGACGCTAATTGAAAAAATAACATAAAATAATAGAAATAAAAAACCGATACCGACGATACAATATTGTAAGCATCCTACGATAGAGCATAGAAGTACCGTATTTGTTTTGTGGGTAGATGAAGTTGGTGAAGGATGGACGGGTGCGTCTGTTTGTTTAAAGTGGTCCACTCTCCTGCTACAAGAAGACCGAGGTCTGAGTCGTTCGTGTATGACGTCACATGTATAGGAGAGTTGTTATGACGGTTTGTGTGTGTGTGTGTGGGGGGGGGGTGAATGTAGTACGAAACATGTTTATTTTTGTTATAAGTATTCAATTAAACGACCGTACTGGGCTCAACCTTGATTTGAGGTTCTGCTCTCTAGTGCAGTGTTCAGTCGACGCCAATGGTCAGTGTTGGATGTTGGCTGCTTAATGCAATGTTCAGCTGACGCCAATGGTCAGTGTTGGATGTTGGCTGGTTAATGCAATGTTCAGCTGACGCCAATGTTCAGTGTTGGATGTTGGCTGGTTAATGCAATGCTCAGCTGACGCCAATGTTCAGTGTTGGATGTTGGCTGGTTAATGCAATGTTCAGCTGACGCCAATGTTCAGTGTTGGATGTTGGCTGGTTAATGCAATGTTCAGCTGACGCCAATGTTCAGTGTTGGATGTTGGCTGGTTAATGCAATGTTCAGCTGACGCCAATGTTCAGGGGTCTATTGCTGGGTTCCTAATGCAGTGTTGCAATGTTCATTCAATACCAATTACTAACAGTAATAAAAACTGAATAATAGAACTCTGCAGATTTAATGACGTATATTAGACCAACCGTCTTCTTTGCTAAGAAAAAGACACGAAAAAACCAAGTAAAAACCAAATTAAAACAAAACAAAACATTTCTAAATTTCAACTCCGCAGTCATTGTTGTTTTCTTAGTGTTTTAATGTAAACTAATGTTTTTGTAATATTTTTTTTAAATTTTAAATAAAAAGAAAAGATTTCAAGCTTTATAACAATTTAT